ATATTAAAGTGTCTGAGCAAAGCCTGACAATCCTGCTGGTACAAATGCAGACTGTTTTCAGTGTCAACAACACGTTTCCCAGACCTTCCAGGTTAATTTACACCTCTCTAACCTGATTGGTCAGCTGTCCGTGGCTCCGCCCACGCATGCTTATTGACTCCGCCCACCGAAATACGCCCCATATAAATGTTTCCTTTGTCGACTGGGCTCAGGTACTAATCGTTTTTGCGACAGAAAACGAGTGTTTAGTGCTCTTACTTTGTTTGAAGAATAGTTTTAACTTTACAGCGAGTAAATTCCGAACCATCTACCTTTGTGTAACTTTGTCACGATAATATAAAATATGTGTGTTTAATATAAAAGCAGGAGAAAGATGGGGAAATGGCAATTATCGATGGTAAGTATCTACCTGTTGTGTATAATTTGCAGCTCGTTGGTTTCTGTCTTGTGACTTCAGCTGTTTGTTCTGCCTCTATAGAAACGTGTTTTCTGACTAATGCAGATAATAAAGCTCATCCCAGAGCTGTGGTTTGTTCATGCTGTGATTTATGAAGAGCAGCACGCTTTATTTTATTATTAAGACCCAGATTTGATCGTAAATTTTAGCATCAAATCAGTTTTATTCGAGTTTGTAGAAGAATCCATCATGAATAGAGTTTTGTTGGCTCACTTTGAATGATAAAACTTCTAAATAGTTATAAAATGTAAATTAAATGTCACTTCTTTTAATGCGAGTTTATTCTTTATTATACTTTATAGTCTTAGTGAAATCTTGTATCAGATTTTGTGTTGAGGATGACTGTCAGCTACTACCACCAAACTAAGTTTCTGTTAAACTGACTGAATTGTTGACATATTTTAAGTGTGTGTGTTTTATAAAGTTCCTTAGCTGTGGCAGCCGGTTTGGTTTGATAGTTCATGAGATATTTTGCTAACAGAGTTTATGTGTTGAGGATGATTCTCAGCTACTACCACACCAAGTATTAGCTTCTTAAGTGTTAAATTGACAGAAGTTTGGCCATTTTAGTTTGGAATTGAGATGACTCTGGTAATGAGTTTTATACCTCCTATTTTGTCAGGTTCATTACCAAAGGTTCTCAAACTGGAGTCCCAGGACCCCCAGGGGTCCGTGAGAGGTATTTTGGGGGTCCTCAAAAAAATTCTCTAAATTGTTATTTTGTTTTTTGTTTTTAAAAATGCATGGAGAACAATGAACTAATAAAACAAACACAACAAACTGAATTAAAATATATATTCCCATGGGATTTAGGGGTTGAAATGACAGTGAATTATATTTTTAAACAGCATGGGGTTTATGAGGGGGTCCCTGGAAATTTTTTTGCTCTTGTAAAGGGTCCCCAGACCCGAAAGGTTTGAGAAACCCTAAAGTGTGCTTAGTGTTTCCTGAGTTATTTTGCTAACAAACAGAAACAAAAACATGATTGCTTTTTTACCTTCAGTGGTGAATGTCTTATTCAACACTTTTTTTCTTTAAATATCTAATTTATTCTGTTGCACAATGCATGTTTAAGTGTAATGTTTAATTCTTTAAATTAACATTTAATCAGTTACAGCTGGTTCGCAATTTTATGTTTTGATCATAAAAATATATATCTTTTTATTATTTATCAACAATCTAAATTGAAACCGATAAACAGCAAAACTTTTAGTAATCATTCATGTTTTCCAAACTTGTGTATCATGAAAACCAAATGAGCTTTAAAAAAGAGTAACAGTTGCATTTTTTTAACTTGGATAAAAATAATGGTCAAGTGAAAAAAGGGTTGTGGCTTTATTTAAATGCTTTATTATTAACTCTTTTAAACGTGTTTTTAGTGGACCAGCATCTATTTTTGCTCCTAACGTGCTGAGTAATGTAATAAAAAGCTGCAGCAGTGTAATGGAACAAATCTTTTGTCAGATTGTATTAAACAGTTTTCGTTCCGTGTTGCAGAATGTAAACATCTGCGTCACTGGATGCTTCTTAACTCGGTCATGGATCTCCTCTTCAGGTTTCTATTTTTGAACGTTTTCACTGCACAGTCCTGGAATGTGACGCATGAGAGTCGTGCACGCTCGGCTTCACCTGTCTCCACGTTCACTGTTGGAGTTTATTTTTTTATTTATTTTTTTCGTCTTGAAGCAGCTGATTTGCTGACTTGGCATTCAGTTTTCCTGTCTTTCTACATTTTATTTTTTATTTTCTGCAAGCTCTTTGCAATCAAACCATTTCTTTTAGCCATGCAACTTTAAAAATACCCAGCTCTTTCAGGAGATGGGTTCTGTGACTTATGGGTTTTGTAACTTTAAAACTTTCAAAATGTTTAACTTTATTTGCAAATGATTCCTCCATTACAATCTCTGCAGTTCATGCAGAAATGTTGCTCTCTGTGAAATCTGCTGCAGCTTATTTTTGTTGTTATAGCTTTTAGCTAGCCTTTTGCTGCGCTTTGGATATATATTTTTCTTTTAAGCTAGCATACAGCTTCAGCACTCTGCCTTCTCGCAGCATTTCTGTTTATGTTAAAAGTTTAATTTAATCAAATGAAGTTCAGTGAGTTGTTTGGTTTCTGCAACGCTTCATTGACTGAAGGAGAACGGTGTTTCTGTCACGCCGGTAACCTTGACTTCCCGCCCTGCAGGATCCGGTGCAGGAGTGGGGCGAGGAGGAGGAGGACGGCGCCGTGTTCGGCATCACCCTGCGCCGGGAGCCAGTGCTGCAGAACTCGGACTCGTCGGATCTCGCGTCCTTCGCTTGCGTCCAGTACCACACGGTGAAGACGCGCAGGCTGAAGGCCGCCACCCCGGAGCGTCTGGTCGCCCACCTCTTCGATCCCGAGTGCCAGGAGCCCGACTTCGTCCACGCGTTCCTGTCCACGTACCGGACCTTCACCTCCGGCGGCGCCTTCGTTGAGCTGCTGTTCAAGAGGTGAGCGCAGCCTAACTTCAGCTGAACTGTGTTCAACAGAAACGACAAGGTCCCTCATGAGGTCATCGTTTCCGCCTGGTTCAGACTCGTCTCTGTTTAACAGAAAACACTGAGTTTCATGGAGACATGGAGTTTTACTCTGCGGGTCATAATCATCCTGAAACATTTAGTCCAGTTTGAATGGTTTTCTTTTTCTTTTCTTTTTAGTTTTAAATCAGGGAAACCATTCTTATCAGAGGTGGAAAGTAACTAAGTACAAATACTTTGTTACTGTACTTAAGCAGAAATTTTGGTTATCTGTACTTTACTTGAG